TTCAAAGCAGACCTGCTCTTCCGATTCTCTTCCACTGTGTTAGCCAACATCTGCACAGTGTTAGCCACATCTTCTACACGAGTGCTTAGCGTTTTGGCAACATTTTCCACCTGAGCACAAATCATGTTTGCCATATTTTCAACTCGATTATTCATCTGTAAATTATCTCTCTGATTTTGCTGACAAAGATTGTCTATTTTCTGCTCCATATGTATGACTGTGTTATCCAGTCTCGAGAGATTACATCCAATCTCAGTTACAAGCAAATTCTGCTTATCCAGTTCTTCACTCAAAGTAGGAGAGCACTCTCTCCACTTTGGGGTATCCCTTCCCGGTGTCATTCTTGTGGATGTTTTGGGGAACTTCTTCCTAGATCCCAACTGTAGGGTGGTTGAATTCCAGGGGTCAGACGCCCTTTCCATCCCATTTTTGATGAATGGGTTGGATTCTAATTTTCCCTTTTCTGGCCAATTGATCAAATTCCCGTTCACTAAAGGGAAATCCTGCATCCCTATTTCCTCCATAGGATCCTTCCATGGCTTTACACCAGTGGTCAAATTATCTCCTGTCCAATATCCAGTGCTAAATCCACTGGCTTGTGCAGTGGGCACTTTACTTTGGTCTCCTCTGTCCCCCATTGAGACAGATGTTGGGGCACTTATCGTCCCTATAGAGCCGGTATATCTTACTGTCTGTCTCTCAAGAGCATCTGTAGGCCTGAAAAAGGGGTTTAATGCTTCGCGTTTCCTACTTTCTACTTGCTCTTGTCTTATTCCTTGGTTACTAAAATCCGGGGTATCCTTCAACCCTTTCTGTGCGGGGGAACTTCTTTGTTCCAAAGGCAAAGTTGTATCGCCTGCCAACGGATTTTTTATATCCTCATTGTCATTCTTAAATAAGACCCAGGTTTTCTTTTGTTCCTTTGTTTGATCCATACTCTCAATATCCGACATTTTATCAGATATTTCAACTTGCAAATTTACATGCAATTTCCAAGATGTGCGTCCCTATTATAAATCCTTATCCTTGCTTCCACAAGAGCAACTGAAGCAATCCCACTTCTGACACCAATGTAACGTTTTTCCCGGCAGTCAGGAATGCGGGGAAAATGCGGGGAAGATGGACCCTCCCGTGTGTTACTTAATTGCGGGATTATACGGAGCGGCGTTGACTCCGCTCGCTACAGTCGCCTGAGATGTTACTCCAAGGGAATGCAAGGGGAAAGAAAGTATTACGCAATCTGGGTTTGCACTACACAAGTTCCCTCTGGAACTCACTACAATACAACAATGAACATTCAAGTACAGAATAAAAGTAAAGTTATATATTTGCTCTTTATGAGCCAAACAATGGTTTAGAAACAATAGAAAATTATGTACAAAGTCGAGCTCAAACTACCCTAAACTATATAATCACTAATGCCTTAAGGCAGAAAAACATGTGATGTCACTTGAATGTCTTTAAGTTACTATAAGAAAGTAAGATCAAAAGAGGATATCACTTTGATAAGTTCCAGCAAAAGATAAAGGTTGATATCACTTGAATGTCTCTATAGTCGCCACATAAAATAATCATGAACTCATATTAAACAATCACTATAACATTAGATGTCTTTGTTTGTGTCTTCTTCAGCAATTGTGGGATGCACCTCTTGTCTTTGTATTCCGTTGTCTGTCCTGAAATAAAATGGCGCTCCTGGCCACGGGACTCAACTGTCAACTAATCACGTTAATTAATGTGCAACCTCGTGCAAGTATCCTTAAATTCCTTTATCCAAGTTGCAATCGGTTGCAACGGTCCTACTCAATGGATGCAAAAGCCCTTATATTCCTTGATCATAGGTGCAATGTTTCTGTGTGCCCCTGTTCCTAACCAGGGTGCAACTCCTCTATATGCCCTTGTTCCTTAACCAAGGTGCATCTTGCCCCTGTCCCTTAACCAGGGTGCAAGTCCTTTATGTGCCCTTGTTCCTTAACCAAGGTGCACCTTGCCCCTGTCCCTTAACCAGGGTGCAAGTCCTTTAAATTCTCTTATTATCCTTTGCACCTATGTCCAATTTGCAATCCCTTTATATGCCCTTGTTCCTTAACCAAGGTGCATCTTGCCCCTGTTCCTTAACCAGGGTGCAAATCTTCTATATTCCATTATCCAAGTTGCAATCAGGTGCAAACGTCCTTAAATCCTTTATCCAAGTTATAATCACGTGCAAATGTCCTTAAATCCTTTATCCAAGTTGCAATCAGGTGCAAATGTGCTTAAATCCTTAATCCGAGGTGCAACCGGGTGCAAATGTCCTTATGGGGTGCAACCTGGTGCAAGTATCCTTAAATCCTTAATCCGAGGTGCAACCGGGTGCAAATATCCACTATGGGTGCAATCGGGTGCAAATATACGCTATGGGTGCAACCGGGTGCAAATATTCTTAATCATAGGTGCAATGTCTCTGTGTGCCCCTGTTCCTAACCAGGGTGCAATTCCTCTATATGCCCTTGTTCCTTAACCAAGGTGCATCTTGCCCCTGTTCCTTAACCAGGGTGCAAGTCCTTTTATGTGCCCTTGTTCCTTAACCAAGGTGCACCTTGCCCCTGTCCCTTAACCAGGGTGCAAGTCCTTTATATCTCTTATTATACTTTGCACCTATGTCCAGGTTGCAATCATGGGTACAAATGCCCCTTGCACCAATATGGGGTTGCAAGTTGGGTGCAACTCTCCAAAATATCCTTTACACCTAATCCAGATGGTTATAATGGGTGCAAATATCCCTTGCACCTATATGGGGTTGACAATTGGGTGCAACTCTCCCAAATATCCTTCACACCTATTCCAGGTGGTTATTATGGGTGCAAATATCCCTTGCACCAATCTGGGGTTGCAAAGTCGGGTGCAACTCTCCCAAATCTCCTGGGGTTGCAAGATTGAGTGCAACTCTCCCAAAAATTCCTTCACACCTATTCCAGGTGTTTGATATGGGTGCAAATATCCCTTGCACCAATATGGGGTTGCAAATTGGGTTGCAACTTTCCCAAATGGTTGATATGGGTGCAAATATTCCTTGCACCGATATGGGGTATGCAAAGTTAATTGCAACTCTCCCAAATGTCCTTCCGTTGATTATTGTGGGTGCAAATATCCCTTGCACCGATATGGGGTTGCAAGTTAGGTGCAACTCTCCCAAATGTCCTGGGGTTGCAAGATTGAGTGCAACTCTCCCAAAAATTCCTTCCGTTGATTACTGTGGGTGCAAATATCCCTTGCACCGATATGGGGGTGCAAAATTGGCTGCAACTCTCCCAAATGTCCTGGGGTTGCAAGATTGAGTGCAACTCTCCCAAAAATTCCTTCACACCTATTCCAGGTGGTTGATATGGGTGCAAATATCCCTTGCACCGATATGGGGTTGCAAGTTAGGTGCAACTCTCCCAAATGTCCTGGGGTTGCAAGATTGAGTGCAACTCTCCCAAAAATTCCTTCACACCTATTCCAGGTGGTTGATATGGGTGCAAATATCCCTTGCACCGATATGGGGTTGCAAATTGGGTGCAACTCTCCAAAATGTCCTGGGGTTGCAAATTGGGTGCAACTCTCCCAAATATCCTTCACACCTATTCAAGGTGGTTGATATGGGTGCAAATGTTCCTTGCACCGATATGGGGTTGCAAAGTTGGGTGCAACTCTCCCAAATAACAATATAATGTTGAGTAAAAAAAATGAACAAAAATACACACACAATCTCGGCAAATATAGTAATAGATACAATCCGATATGATATCTAAATCAATGTTCAAAATGTCCAGGCTAAAAATTGGACAAACTGTGATGATATTTGATCGACAATCTTTCATCAATTACTCAACAAAATATTCTTACTTACGACCCCGTGGTTGTTCCAGTCTGTAAATCCGTTAATTATTTGTCGCACAACAACTTGACAAACTGGTCAAATTCCTTTTATATGCCCCGCGCGGACGTTTTGGACTGCATAAATCTGATTGGTTAATTCCGCCAGAAAACTAGGTTAGTATGCCAATGAGTCTCCGCAATGGGCGATAATATGAAATTGCCGTGGATGGTCATGTCACTAAAATGCTAAAAACGTGATCAATTAACTCGAAAATGATTAAAAATCAAAGTTCCTATGAAAGATTACATGCCAATAATTGATCCGCCACTCGCCTAAACTCACCAGTTCCACTGAAATTCCTGTAAAATGGCTTCGTTTTCCGATTTCGAAAGAAAAATTACATTGACTTCCTTATTTCCGGAATTTCTTATCAAAACCGGTAATGGTGAAACGAAAACACAATAATCAATTTTCATCACAATATGATATAGGTCAAATGCAAGGATATGTTTGACACAAATCTATGTACATATCGAGATCATTTGTGTCCAATCTAATTAAATATAACTTGAATATCGAGGCACCCATTTCATATGTAAAAATTGATGAGATTACATACATGGCAATTGCCCACATCTCAACTCATCTTATTCTACAGTACATATTGTGTTCAACAACTAAATTAAGCAGCATGGAGACAAAACGAACATGGAAGACGACATTGAACTAGTATTAACATGTTGTATTTTGTAAGATTCAAGATGTCATAAAACACTGCCAGACTGTGAAACATCTCCTCTGTTAAACACTTTCATCAATTTGTCAATAAAGTAATATTTTTCATACTTTTAGAGTAGAAAACAAAACGAAAGGCCGCTAAGAAAAAGGAAAAAAACATTTTGAGGTTTACGTTTACGTTACGTCTAAAGCGCTCAGCTTAAAGCATTTTTGTTCGTTGTACGTAAACGGGAACGTAAAGGTTTACGTTTGCGGTTCACGTCATAAAAAATCGTCTTGCTTAACCTCTCTATTGTCACTTTTCAAATCATTTTCAGGTGATAACATTTAGTTATTTTCTAGTTTGACATTCGATCAAGCGCCTGTCTTTATATGTCGAACTTGTATTATGTCGTTTACCATTTTTATTTTTTCAATTTAGGTATAGATTTACTCACATTGACATATCCCAGTACAAAGCCAGAGTTTCATCAAATGGGACGGTTTCAATAAGCCGCGTGATGTACTTAGATACAAGCTGCGCCCTTGACGTCACTCTATATCCTTACGATGACCAAACTTGTAACATCACAATCGGCAGTCGGAACTGGAACGCCAAAGAACTGATATACGTAAATGACGGAATGTCTGTTGAATATTTTGAGTTAAGTATGTTGTGGGCTTTAGTTGGTACTTGGAGCAAATCGCACATTATTCGCAATGAAGCAGAAATTCATGGTTACAGTTATGTGGTGTTCACGCTGTATCTGGAGCGTCAGTCGTTGTTTTATAGCGTCCACCTGATCTGGCCAACGATCCTTATTGCTATACTGACCTGTCTAGTCTTCTTCATACCAGGCGATTCTGGGGAAACTATGCAGCTAGCAGTTTCCCTTCTGTTAACGTTTACAGTCTACTTACTATATGCTGCTAATAAGATGCCCGAGAATTCCCGCAGCGTGCCCCTCTTTGGCGTTATCCTCATGTGTCTCCTTATGACATCAGCGTTGTCCATAATGCTTTGTGTGATACTATTGATATGGCATCATCTTGGCGATCATAAGAAAAAAATGCCTTGCTGTATAGAAGGATTGATATTCGATGGGGTTAGATACCTCGTTTGTACAAACCTACCCACTGAGAAGATCCCCAGGGTCAAACGGTTGCCAAGGACGACGGGATGTCCTTCTGATCCAGCACTACTTTACTTCCGCAATGTACCCTCATCCAGCAAACCGAATTCAAATAACCAAAATGCGGGTTTGCATGACATGCAAGGAGATATTAACATGAATGAGATTCCCACTAATCATGACTCGGGACCTTCACTTAAACTAAACGAAAGTACGAAAGTGACGTCAACACCAAGAATCATTGACGTCAACAACGAAATTGATGATGCAGTTGACGGTGTGTCCAGTAATCGCACGTATAAAAACGCTGCTAAGATTTGCGGACGGTTTATCGGTGGATGCTATCTTTTGTTGATAATATTCGGCACCGTCCTCGCCACTGTTATAATTCGGAACCTGCCCACAGCATGCTACAAGAATAAGGTTGAATGTAATTTTGCACCGGACAATAGAATGAATTCTCTGCAGTCGTTTGGCGAACAACTTCTAAAAGGTTTAAATCCGACCTAATACTCCGTCTGAATAGAACAATAGAATCAGTTTTTGCAAGTAATCCAAGAGCAAGTCCTTAAAATTACTCAGACCTTGGTATCCGTCTTATGATTCAGACATGACCATATATAGACTAGCCTACACATTGATCAAGATCAGACATGCGCTTCAAGGAAGCATTCCTCGCCATGGACTTGCACAGTGTAGAATTTGTATAAACCATGTCTTCTGAAGCAAAAATAATGCATAATGCATAATAACCCACATATGTTTGAGGAAATAGGAATTATTCCCCATATCATGGACCTGCACTTCGAGTACATTGCCATTGTATATTTATCATGTACCCGATATTACAAAACCTTCGGTCATGTTCGTAGATACATTGTAGCTACACGTTTTTTAATGAACTTTTACGTAAACGTGTAGAATTCTGGTCCCCTGTGGGTTAGTTCTTCCATTTTTATTACTATTCACTTGACCGATTCAGTATAAAGGTATAAAGAAAATAATTGTAATTATGTCCCTCTTAAAAGTGAATTGAGAGTGGAACAGTTATCACCATGGCATCTTAACATTACACGTTAACGTCTCACGTTCTCTAAAACGTGAAGTTTGACCCCTCTAATAAGTTAAACTCTTTACGTAACATCTCATGTAAATAAGTTTGTTTAGTTGACATTGAGTTGTGTTTGTTATAAAAGCAATAATATAGACGTTTTTAGAAATAAAGCTATTTTATTCTGTGAATATGACATTAAAAGTAAATAATCTTAGGGGCCTACATGTATGTGAGAAATATTTAATTTCAAAACAACGAGACTGTCTCGTGGTTGGACATTTAGAATAAGTAGACAGGTATTATGTCACAAAGGGAAACACGTTGGTATTGCAGTCTCCCTGAAACTATTATCCCCCCATATGTGGCAGCAAAGAACTAATTTTATAGAGGTCTATATACAGCTCGTGATCGTCCTAGATCTACTTCGTTGCTTATAAATATAAATAATGCGTTTCAAGAATTTAATAAATTAACTAAACAAATCAATCTCAATCATTTTTATTTTTTCCTTATGTCATTTATAAATAAAAACACAATTGTTTTATAGTATCGTTCTTTATTACACGAATCCTGTAAATCTTTTCGCTGTCAACCTCAAACTAAAAACATATTCTGAACCATTTACTCAGGCTGGCATTTTAATCAGTGTATTTATACTACATACTTCAGCTTCTCGAAGAAAAGTTGTTAGACATCAGTGTAAAGGCAACAAAAATCACTTGAGTTAAAGTCAGGAATACAAACATTACAAACAGCACCCTATACGTAGTTATCGCCCAAATTTCGGATGATAGTGGTAAGGACGAGACGACCAACGTTGACTTTTCTGACCAGCTTAGCAGTAATGTAGCATAGAAATGGCATACACATGCCATTTCTCTACATAAATTACTTAGCCATTTCTCATCATCAAAATTATGTCGGGTAAACATACATTTGAATTGGATTTTATGATTACAGACCGCTCTTTTTCACATTTATGAAGAAATAAAACATAGCTGTTTACATGTAGCTTTTTATGCGTCGTCGATCAGAAATTGTCGACATTTTGACGATAAGAGATCATAATTTATCGAGGTTAATTAAAATTGCATATTTAAACGACTGTTCTATCATTACTATGCATTTGATTACATTGAAAAATATGGCATGCAGAATTTAATATCCTCCTATTCTAAAACAGTATAGAATAATCACCACCGTGTGCTATAGAAATACATCTTGAAATATTATGGTACTAATCTTTTTTGGCGTTTAGTCGTTGCCATTCGAAATTGGCATGATCACTACATATAGGGTGACCTAATAATGATAAAACAAATATCTCATCCCATTTTTGGTGAATACCTAGCATTTTCACAAATTCAATATCTTTTGAAGCTATTCGGGTTTTATTGTCTGTGAATCAATTGAGTCATTTGTCTGATGTCTATTGAATCAATTGAGTCATTTGTCTGATGTTCACTTGTTCTTGCTCTGTGTATGCTTCATGTATACCATTCTAGTTAACATTGCTTGCGACGGGAAATCCTGATGTAGAGTAAAATTGAACAAGTTTGCATTAATTTTTTTTAATTTAACTACAAAACACAAGCGCATAGTAATTCAATCCGACCCGTTGTGAAAGAAATTATGGTCTACTTAAAGTGTGCGCCAAAGTTTAAAACTGCGCAGGCGCACCGCTCTCGCTAAACTATATAAAGAGATTACCAGGTACACGATTCAGAGGTAAGCCAGGAAGGCGAACGATCTTCGTCTCGTGATGATTTCCCATATAATCGTAACCAGAGAAGTTTCACCATTGACATTGAAAATTACTATTAGATATACTTTGTAGATGTTATTTATGAAGCTATTTAGCGTTTGCATCAATCAAATGGCTCATTTTGAACATATAAAAAGTATTTGTGTTTTGTTTCCCAGGGAATTGTATTGTATGTAGTACACACATAAATAGTGTACATTATACAGTACTTGAATAGTCTGGTTTACATAATATTGAAGGGCATGCTGATTACATGCACACGAGTACATGAATGAAGGCCTAATATTGATATACGTAGCTTGCATACCTAAATAAAAAATAAACTCTTCTAATCCCCTAATGTAAACACGGCGGTATACGTAGCCCGATTTATCGGGGACTTTAACGGCCCTTACTGGCCCTGACTGAGTATAAGATAATGAGGGAAAGAGGTCACCATATTAATCAATGGAGAGTAGGATCATAATGTGAAAGGGGCTCCTGCCCTTTTACATCGGGATCAGTTCATTTTTACCCAAAGGCATGTAATCTCTTAAAGTATAAGTTCTGAGCAAAAAATTGGGAGGACAAATTAGGCTTTTTACTGCTACCTCCGTATCTTTAAAACTTCCTTAGGATTCTAGTAATTGGGTTTTGAAGTTGGATACTTTTGTGGACGCCTTGTACAAGTCCGAGGTTGTTTAAAATGCGCACCTCTTTTCAAATAGAGTAAACCAGTAAACAACATTAAAAACAATTCCTGGAGGCTAAAAATACAAAATGTATACAGTCTTACAGCCCTTTAGTTGACTTAATGACAAATGCAATTAACCGCATTGTATTTTGGATGATTAAACACTGAAAATGTCATTTCAATGTGTTTAATTATATCCGTGATAATTGAAAAGGAATTAAAGATAAGAAACCGGTAAATCCAACTCTTCCTATGAATATTTATAAATGCTAAGTTCAATTACTATTTCTGAATAAACAAATGGTACTAACGTTCTAAAAGGAATCTATTACATTCTGTAAAGTAATTGATCACTTTTGTTTATATGCGAATCATTTCTCCATAAAAATAAGATTAAAGAAATATGTTGCCATTTTAATCCATCTGATCCATGGCCAGTTCATTACGGACGATCAATGTCAATACGGAACCATAAGTATAAATGAATGGTATCGCGATGTGGCATTTCACATATTACTATTCTAGTACTTGACTGGCATTCGCAAATCTGATCGGAAGGAAACTGGAGATGAAGATGCAAGTGATACAGATGATGGTTCTAATAGGATGCGGCGTTGCATTAGTGGACGCAACCGACTGTAGATACCCATGCGTCCGCAAACTTGGTGAGAATTGATATCAAAATGTTATTTAAAAATAAACATCAAAATCGAATTTATAGTTTGTTAGGTTAATGCTTTTTTAAAAAAAAAATTATTAAACAAGGATTATCTGGCTTTCCCTCTTCAGTTTAGGACATTCAGTTGTTTCAGATTTGTATAACTCGTTCATTAAGTGAAAAGTCAACTAAGATTGCTAATTATAGTACTAATTTGTTTTTTTGTTTTTTAAGATATATTTTTTTATTATTTCTGTTTATTAAGTCATGTTACAAATACATTTTCAATGTTACAACTACAAGATAGTGTCACATATTTTCCAAAATTGTGGGTAAAATACATTTTTTCTTATAGCTATTTCCTTCTTCAAAGAGTGTAATATAACATCTAAATTTCTGGCATTATTGTCATTTATCTGTCTTAGGTAAACCTTATAAATTGTATATGTAATTACACGGACAAAATAGTTAAGAAATTTAGTTAAATCATCATTGCCATTATAACCTAAAATAATTATTCTATAAGTTATTCTAAGTTTTGATTTATCTTGTATGAAGTTCCAGACACTCCTGGCCAAAACACAATCAAAAAACAAATGTTTTACTGAATCAGGATTTCCACAAATATCACAACTATAATTTTCTGTTTTACCAAATATAAAAAGCTCACGTTTACTGGGTAATATTCTATTAATTATTTTATAGTTAAAGTTGGCAATTTTGGTTTCTTTACAATTTATTTTGGTGTCAAAAAAATTATTCCAATTAATTTCATCAATGCGTTCATCTTTTTTGTAACAAAATTGCTTTTCCCATGTATCTTTCATATACCACTTTTCTGCCTTATTTGCTCTTAAAATGTCATAGAAAAAATTAGATTTCTGATGATTCACATCTATTGTTTTGTTTTCAAACTTAAACTTAAATCTTTTAGGAATATTTGTATAATTTGAGCTTTGTATATCAATCATATTTTTATAGATTTAATTGCGTTTTGTACCTGATAAAATTCAGAAATCCAACTTTGCTTATTGACAAGTTTCTGATAAATTAAATCAATATCAAGCAGGCAGTTTTGCATTATTAAGTCTTTAACATATATTATTCCACTTTCTATCCAATGAGGAAAGAAAATTGGTTTATTTTTTATGGTGAAAAGTTTATTTCCCCATATTATTTCTTGTAAAATGTCACTTTGTTTCATTTCTGATACCTCCTTAATAGTTTTACATTTACAATGAGATTGAATGACTTCTTGGTAAAATAAAGGAATTGTTTTAAATTCTTTAAAATCAACATCATTTATATTTAGTAAATTGTAATATTTTGGGAAAAGTCTTTCCAAGTAAAAGTAAGGAACTTTATTAAACATATTTTTTTAGTACTAATTTGTAGTGTATTTGAGCTCTTCAAATATTGCCGTTTGTGCTTTTTATTTACACTATATTATAACAAACTCGTTCGGCAATTGAAGATTTAGAAGAATCGATATTTTTAATTAACAAAGATCAAATAACGATTATTGTAATAACAATTACAAATATAAAAAATATAACTTTCGCAAGCGTATGTATCTTTTTATGTAAAGGAACACGAGTGGCAGACTGTATAGATCCATGTGGCCAAGAACCACAGCCAGAATGCCCGGCTTGTCCCGATGCAGTATGCCAGTGAGTAAACAAATATGGTACAAGTTCTTTTAAAAACGAATGTCGATCCATATATCCTGTTCAAATACTATTTTTCAACTAACTTTACTTCACATTTTTATAAATGCAACTATGGCCACTGTGTAAAATAACGAATATTGCTTGCAAATAACGAGCAATTCTAGTGGTTATTTGCTTCAAATTGCATGTTATAACCAGTAATCATCACTGACAGAACGCAGACAATAACTGCATATATGGAACACACATATATGCAGCTGCATATAACAAACATCCACGGAGAATACTGACTGCATATACGGGTACTGTCACTGAGTATAGTTGCTTATATTCAGACATACTTTGCATATTTGCTGTTTACTTGTGATTATATGCAGCGCTGAAACTGCATATACCTGCTTATTTGGGATAAACAAATATAAGCAGTTGAGTATACTATATATTATAAAAATTAAAACTGATTATATTTGTATATGATCTGCATATATGCCACTTTTCATGAGTATTTCTGCATATTTTGAGATAAGTAATATGCAGCATGTGAGTATATTGAGACATGCACAAGAATATAAACTAACTACATTAGCATATATAGAGTCAAGATCGGTATGTTTGACATATTCTTGCTTATTTAGGAGGACTGGTAGACACTGTTTTGTGAATTGGGCATAAACACCTGTTAATGTAAATTCCTATTTATGAGCATTTGAGTGTTGTAGCTATAGGTTTGGTTTACTGTACTTGTTTTTTGAGGTAAGCGATTTGAAAAAATTGCACATAAACAGCTTTTACGTTTTTTATAATTTATTTTAAATTTCTTTAGATTTCTATGTACAGAGTAGGCCAATTCGACGACCTCTATAAGTAATAACTTCAAATAGTATACATGTCATGATATAGGGAGAAAATCATTGTTACAACTTATTAGCCCCGTGAAATAATATTGCTTGAAGATGGGAATGTTTTGATCCACCTTTCATATCGCTTGATACATATATAGACATATTTACATTGCACTGTAATTATATTTCTTCCTTTAAATGATACATAATTATTGTAGGCAAAAATATGAATGCCTATTTCAAATCATTGAAAATTATATTCTCTCTCGAATGATAAGCCTAATAATGATTTTACTTTTAAATGGATTTACTCATTATGTTTTGGCCAAAGCTGTACACTGCTAAATGAATATATTTACATTGCATTGTACATGATGTAACATTATATTTCTATCTTTAAAATGGTGCGAACTAATGCTCCAAATCAATGTACGCATATTGCTCAATCTTGAAAACGGTGTTTTTTGTAGCAAGATATGGCCTGTCTTCCGGTAGCAAATTCTCGTACGATATCGAATTCTGCTTTCTTCATTCAAACTCCTTTCTTCTTCATCCTAGTGTCTTCTACACGTTTCTCAATATCTATGTAAATTCAGCTATCACATGGATTCTATTTTGCGGGAAATTTGACACTGCACACAAAGACACTGCTCTGAAGATACTCCTCTGAAGATACAAAGACACTGCTGTGTATTTTAATCAATGATACAAAGACATTAGTTTATAGCATACTGTTCAGCCATACAGTATCATGGACCTTCCAAGACAATCAATTTATTAAATTATCAAGATCAATGCCAAATCTTATGTTTACAACAATTTGCCAGGTGTCTTTATTGTGTTTTTTTCATTATCAAACTCAATCATCTATCCATTAAGGGAAATAAAAAGCAAGCTAAAGTTTCACTTACAAGAGGCTTCGTCGTGTTCCTGGGTCTGGCGTGGACCAAATGGCTGACTGGCTAAATTGCGCCATGGGCTTCTAATCAAAAGCCCATGATTGCGCCAATGTGTAGACATTCTCACAGTATGGCTTTATGATTATTTACTACTCAGCAGACATTGGTCATTTGGCAAGCTTAATTTTCCCCTGTCAACCACCCGTGTGCGTGTCACGTACGATTATTACTTGCGCATCATAGCTCGGAGACATGCAGCCTGCTCAATATCCACCCCCTCATTTTCAGTTATTCAATAACAAAATATATTGTTAAAACATAAATACTGCATTAATACTAAATTCTGCAACATTTTGCTGCTATTGAACAGTCATAATGCTGTTTTGATGAACCCATGATTTGACATCTCTAATAAGTAATCTAAACATAAACAATTACTAATTACCTGACACAATTGCACATAGTGACCGGATGTTTGGAGAAGCACCTTGATAGTTGAAACCAGGAATTGTTTTGAATGGTATTTGTGATTAGTATAGAATTACCTTTTCATTCTTAGCATTCAAAATACAAACTAATAATTCACTTTTTGATGTATTCAGTTTTAATTCAAATAACAAGCTTATTCACAGTAAAGCTGAATGACATTCTGATGATTTAAGAATTGTATTAATCTTGCGTCAAGATCATTGACCCCCTCCCGACATAATACATGTATCTCTTTAATAATCTGCAATCAAGAGATTGATAGACATAATTTAATCAGATAAATGGCTTATCTAGTTGTAAAATATTTGTTCGGACCCTTATTTTATACTTGTGTAAGCCTTGGTGTATATTATCTATATGGGGATTCAGCAGGGGATTATTGGGTCAAATGTATTTTCCTCGCTAATGTCTGGGTCACATTTGCTGCGATTCATCGGCCGCTGATTGAGTATTTTGTTCCAAACTGAAATATGGGTTGCAATCAAATGTTTCGAAAGCCATTCACCATGATTTAAGTAGAACATATTATTAAAGCTCTATTTTAGACATTCAATCAATTTAAATCAATCAAGTTTGAATGCGATTGCATACATGTATTTGCAGATGTAGTGTATTTTACTCACATTTTCACATAATAAGAGCTATCATTTGACATGTAATACTGAGTTTTCAATATTTTGATACAATTGTTTATTATTTTGCGATAATTAAAGCTTTAATCGGGGATAGAGATTTCGACAAAGTACATGTACATTTAGTATTACAAGTCAAAAACCGTTTTTACTTTACATCAAAATCCCGGGATCATAATTTACTAGGAACCCAGATGCTAGAGGAAGCAGAAGATAAACTCACATCAAATACGCTAAATGAAATTATTGAAAATATAATTGGTATTCTCAATATTTTATTTCAACAAATGCCTTGATCTCAGATAATACTTTCCCATGGATTTAAAAATCATCCCAGAACTAATTATAGGTAACACCATTGTGCACAAGCCGCCTGATTGCATTACTCGCTAAAATAACATCCTTAGAAGTGAACAATCCAAACATCTGATAATAATGTAGCTAAAGTTCCCCCTCCCGGTATCCATGCCCACCTTGTTCAGTTGTATCCTTAAAATGTTGAACTACCTTTTGCATTCCTTCAGAGATAATCTGTTAATTTCTGAATTTAAAAGAAATTTAATTATACAATGTAGCACGGGGATTTAGAAAAACTGGCTATAGAAATTAATCCATTTAATTATAACAAACGGATTAATATCAGTGAGAACTTAACTCATTTGCAAGAATTGAATAATTAGGGATTAACGTTTTGTGAATGTATTTGGGAATGGAAAACAAAGCAAGGTCCAATTCAAAATAGAAACAAGGGTATCTCTGATCAGGTTTTGTCTCTTCATTCTCATATTATCAAGTTATCAAAAAAAAGATATTTTGATTCACAATACTGCACCGATACATTGAAAAGTACACGAAGGCAACCACATTTGCAATCTATAGTTCTCAAAAAGCAGGGTTATTAAAAGCCAGTTTCAAACTGAAGTTAAAAAGCCGGTTTTTGAAACCCAGTTCCTAAAATTCAAATTAGAATACTATCTTTCTTTTCTATTTAAACTTAAATCAATTTATTATAAACAAACTATCCCGGGCAAACTATGACCAAGTGCATCGGGAATACAAAACTCCTGTAAATGAGTTATATAAGACAATGAAATCAACGCTGATTGAAACATAAACACTATAAAATGATTTAATCTTCTTTCGATTCCATTACCTGTCATATTTTTTCTAAATACCTGCTTTACCGGGAGGAATTTAACATGGGCTTTAATTCAAAGGCAAGAATCACTTATTAAGCGGATTAAAATATGTTGGACGTCGCTCCAGTGATTTATATTTTATGGTTCTGAATTGATGTGCAGATTTTAAATTCAATCAAAAACATGACCAAAAGAGTCTAGACTACCATTTGCTTTGATCATGGGGAATGGAAAACAAAGCAGCGATTTGAAAAAGTAAACAATTGAATTCCTATGCATAATCCATGATTTAATACGAACGGTGGTAACAGGTTGTTAAATTATAATACCTTCTCAGGAAGAATTAGGTTGCATTGACTCTAAAAGTAGAGATAACAAGTTCAGCGGTGTAGCCAGCTATCCGTCGGGGGGGGGGGATCTCCATTAAAAACATGGGTTTGCACAAGTATTCTTTATTAGCAACTTATTGATAACTACAAGGAATATCTCTCTTTTCCGGTGTGACTTAAAAGGTGTCGAAAAATCACAATTATAGTAAAAATAGATTATTTCGAAATCCATCCTGTAGTCGCTTATTATACACAGGTAAAGTCATATTCATAAAGAACTACGGTACTTACATTCTTTAGTTGTGTTGTTTTATCATGCTTAATAGAAAAATACGCACAAATAGTTCGTTATTTATTTGTATGCTCAGTTATAAAATGAGCAGAGCAACTTAGAAATAGCTTAATATAGTCAGAAAGAGGCAATTATAATGTGTGACTATATTGCACACTTACAGAGTATTGCGTTTGCATATATTTGAGTATTCTTAACTCCACGTATAATCAGTGCTTATTTGTGCTGTTCTACAAATAAAGAGGAGCAATACTTGAATATACAGAGTGTTCCATATATGCAGCGAGTATTGTCTCTGTACTGTCTCTGTTTATATGTGCTGAGTATTTTTGCTGATTACTGCACATAACAAGAGATTCTTACAAATAGACACTGCTT